AAGCTCGCGGATGAGAGGTGGTGCGCCAGGCTGGCTTACCTCGCAGACATATTTGGGCATCTCAACGAGTTAAACGCCAAGCTTCAGGGCAGGAATGAAAACATTTTAACATCCACAGACAAGATTTGGGGGTTTATGGGCAAACTTATCCTGTGGCGCGAGGCTTTGGAACGGCTCCATGGACATGTTCCCGCTGGCATCAGCTGCGCCGCAGGCAGCTAGGGAGCGCGCTGTATATGCCAAACACCTTCAGACCTTAAAAGAGAGGTTTGACCGCTATTTTCCACGTGTGGCTGACATCGAGGACTATGACTGGATCCGAGACCCATTCCACCAGGAACTCTCATCAGAAAAGCTCACTATGAAAGAGAGAGAGGAGTGCAGAGCTCTGTGTGGACCACACACTGAAACTCAAATTTAGTGAGCTCCCACTGGATCAGTTTTGGTTGGCTTCTGCATCGGAGTACCCAAGCATCTCCCACCACGCGATTGAGCAACTTCTTCTTTTCCCCACTACCTACCTGTGTGAGCTGGCGTTCTCTACTCTGGTTTACATGAAGAACAACAGGAGGTCACGGCTCTCTGTTGAACAGGACTTGCGAGTGGCCCTCTCCTCAGTGCCACCAAGGATTAAAAAAATCTGCGCGCCCCGACAGGCACATGTATCTCACTAATTTGTAAATCGGCAACATATTTACAATAGCACATGTTTCAATGCTGATTGCTGAAATGTTACATTTATGTGTAGTTCAGGCCCATGGACAGTGCAGCTTCCTTGCATTGACAGTTCTCTGTGCTGAATTTCTGCTGAGTCTTTGCCTCATTTTTAATGTTGTGAGCTGTCTGGTTTAAATGAGTGTGTTGCTGCTTTGATGAAGCCTAATTTCATAAAGTTTCAAATTAATTTCTGAAATATTTCGTTAATAAATATTTCATGAGTAATATAGTTGTCTTTGTCACATTTTATTTGGCATTAGTAAATAATTATGCACATTTACAGATATTTTACATGATATGAGTGATAACACGTGTTATAAGGGCTATTTTGCACAATAGGTGTGCCTTGAGATTTTTACTTGTCCTTTGGTGTGCCTTGGGCACAAAGGGTTTGGGAACCACTGCATTACACAATCAAATAAATAAATAACCAGATTTTCATGACTACCACACAAACATCATCTGAAAAGCATTTTACCCATTTAAAAAACATCCTCTTTTACACTCTTTAAAAACAAAGACTACACCTATCCTTTAAAACTTCAATATTAGAGAGTCCTTCTCCCCCAGTGAGCACAGAACCTGCCCCACAGCCCACACATCCAGAACCCCCTCTCCCCTCTCTAGAGAGTCCTTCTCCCCCAGTGAGCACAGAACCTGCCCCACAGCCCACACATCCAGAACCCCCTCTCCCCCCTCTCCCCCAGTGAGCACAGAACCTGCCCAACAGCCCACACATCCAGAACCCCCTCTCCCCCCTCTAGAGAGTCCTTCTCCCCCAGTGAGCACAGAACCTGCCCCACAGCCCACACATCCAGAACCCCCTCTCCCCCCCTCTAGAGAGTCCTTCTCCCCCAGTGAGCACAGAACGTGCCCCACAGCCCACACATCCAGAACCCCCTCTCCCCCCTCTCCCCCAGTGAGCACAGAACCTGCCCAACAGCCCACACATCCAGAACCCCTTCTCCCCCCTCTCCCCCCTCTAGAGAGTCCTTCTCACCCAGTGAGCACAGAACCTGCCCAACAGCCCACACATCCAGAACCCCCTCTCCTCCCTCTAGAGAGTCCTTCTCCCCCAGTGAGCACAGACCCTGCCCCACAGCCCACACATCCAGAACCCCCTGCAGATGATTGATCAGCGTATAGTACGCATGCTCCACCCTCAGACGCGCTGCCACCAGCCCCCTCAGACAGAGCACTGCATCCGTCCATCCCACTCCAGCAACTTGGTTCTTCCTACTTTTCCAGATTGCTAATTTTGCATTAGCAAACAAGAAATGTATCAGTACTAGAGTTTCCCTCTTTTTCAGGATGTATTTGGGGCCATGGACACAAAGTGCTATGGAGAAAACCTCCCAGACCCCTTCCACCCACCCCTGTAACATTCTTTTAAGACCAGCCAATCTGGGACAGGACACCACTAAATGCTCCAATGTTTCTGCTATAAAACAGAACGGACAGCGCCCCCTTGTGCCCGGGTCAAAATGAGCTCTGTATTTATTAGTAGCTATTGCTTCATGTATGATTCTCCATTGGATGTCAGCCATCCGTTTCTCAACCGGAGATTTATACAGGATCCTCCAGCTGCCCTGAGGGGAAGAGCCCAAGCCAAACACATCCATCCACCTCGACTCTCTGACGCCTGCGAGCGAGCTGAGGTTTAGCACCTTTACGCAGCTAAGGTAAAGCTGCTTCCCATTGCAGGAGCTGAACGTTCCAGGTGTTAGAGTCCCCAGTGATAGCAGGAGACCATCCTCCTCTCTCCATTCCCCCACCGCAGGACCCTCACTCAAGGCAGGAAAGACATACTCATGTCCCTTTCCCCACTGGTCAGCCAGATCTGCATCCTGAAGTAAGAAGATATGATTCTACACTGTATTGAAGTAAACATATATTGTTTGAACTGTTTTATGTAATCACAAACGGGTTTTGATAATCACTTAGAAAAAGAATGTTATTCTCACTTTTAAATTCACTGACTTAGAGATTCTGTGTTTCACACACCAACATTGATCCTTATCACCACTAAGAGCCAGATGCGGTCACTAAGTCGTTAAAAGACATCGTAAAATAGGAAAAGATTCCCTGGGAAAGGAATGTAGAGTAAGATAAGGTAAAGATAAACATTGACTTTTGACCTGGGGTGGCTTGGGATCTCACTCTCTGGTCAGACCTCTGATTGAACCCGGCCAGAAGCGAATCCAGCCAGTCAGGGCACTTGGGGGAGGTGGTCAGTTTAAACAGCTCCTCCCCAGGGGCTCTCTAATTCGCTTGGGAGAAAAGTGGGAAGGAAGAATCGACAAATCTCCGCCCCAAAAGTAGATAGAAATACTGATGTTTGTGTGTGTAAAAATGCTTTTGGGTTTGGTGAGTTTGTTGGTTCCGATATCTGTGTCCGCATTGCATCACAAACTTGAAGTCACTTTCTTCTCGTTTGATGAGTTTGTCTGGTCCCGACGCTTTTATCCGCATCGCATCACAAATCTAAAAGTCCGGAGTACTCGAGTACTCTGTATAACTTGTATATGTGTTTGGTTTCCTACCAGAAGTAAACTCAGATAATTTGTTATAACTTTGATTCCGGTGTTTTCAATTCCTTTCTTAATTTAATAGAGATCCAGCCTCATCCAACGAACGGCGCGTAGCAGAAGTATTCTACTCCAACAAGTGGTGACTCCCGACGTTTGTGAGCTGATCTCTAGAAAGGAACACCGATAGCCAGGGGACAGAATCCAGTCCAGGGGGAGGACACAGAGATACTGGTGACAACTAAACCAATGGCCATATACAAAAGGTGAGCAGACACCTGTTTTGATTATCGAAAATCTGTGATTGATTATACTAAAAAATGTAGAGTTGTCAGCAGCGTTCTCAGTGTTCTTAGTCACGGTGGGAAATACAATACATATTCAAGTTGGAAAAGTTTGATTAAGTGCTTAGTGTCGGGTATTCAGTCCTGGACCTAGAGCAAGATAGTGTTTGAGAGAGGCGGGTAAAAAGTCCCGGCCCTTCACTCACTAAATACGAAGACTACGGAGGTGTAAAAAACAGAAGGGTTAAATTCCCCGCAGATCATGATAAGATTGATTAATGCGGTTACCTTTCGTGGTGCTTTAAATGTATAAAGTGTCTGTAATTGTTATATGGTGGGTGATAGAGGAGGAGAGACACGCGACCTCCAACTAATTATTTGGAACGACCGTATCTCATCACAAAACTGTTGTGGGGATAATCAGGCTCATTAAACGTGACGATAAAGAGATTTTGTTGACTGAGTTTTTAACTCTTGACCTGAAGTCGCAATCACCGTGAGGAGATTGTAGAAGCCTACTTCTGGAAGTCACGCTATCTGTTGAAATAAACATCGCACAATAATAATTTGCCTGAATGTGATATGATAAGGTATGAGAAGCTCTGTGTGATTTTTTTTTAAAGTCAAATCTGTGTAATACTTGAGAGACAGAGAGCAACAAGAAGGTGGTATAATGTCTGAGACCCTACCTCCACCCTACGGAGATAATGGCTCACAAATGCCACTTATGAGTATCCCATCTAATACTCCTAAAGGAAAACACATTGTTAGACCTGATATTCAGGGATAAGGAATGTTGGAAATAGTAATGGAAGATATTGAAAATCTTAAACTGGATCAACCAACCATGTTAGTGAACCCTGCTAATATGGAGCTAATACATGTAGAAAGAATAGCAGCAGCTCTGGCAAAGACAATAGGTCCTAGCATGCAAGCACAGAGCGATAATATGATAAGGGCTATTAAACTGACCCTTTTTGGGAATGGGATTTTCCGTTACACAACAGAAGACTCAATTCAGGCCTTAAAGAACGCTTTACAAACTAGTCAGGGAGAGTTTAATGTGTTGCTATGTTGCTCATGTGGGAGCTTACACTTTTGGGAAGAGATCTCCACTTTCTCTGTCCTGAGGTGCTGCAGACTCAAAGCAGCATACAGGGTCAAAGACAGGCGTGACCTCTGGAGAGGAAGAAAATCTAAATCTGAACAGACCACAGAGCCCATTAAAAGGTTTTATGGCCTAAACACAGAGAGGAAGATCTGGAGATTGTAAGGAACTCTCCCTAAATACCCACCCCCACACCATTGAGGGGAAGAGTGTTCCTTTCACCAATAAACAAATCATCTCTTAACCAAGTCAGATTTCAAAATAGCCATACCTCAAGTTGTTAAGAAAAGAGGGAGATTCAAAAAGTTATCAATAATTGCCCAGTATATTAAATAACTACAAACAGACACGTATCAATATAAGTCAGATAATATAGACGAGGTCAATCGTGGAAGAAGGCTGACATTTAATGCCTCATATATAAGTAATAGTAATAATAAATATATAGCTGATATTAAATAACTGATGTATAAGGCTCGATGTTTCTGAAAATAAGAACACCGTTAACGGCGTTCTATTTCAGAAAAAGGGGGAAAAGGATAGGATATACATCAGACAATATGTATGTGAGATTATTACGTTTTTAGGAGAAATTTATCAATTTAAAATACTAGTTATGGTATTTTTTGTTTTGTTTTATTTGTTGCTTTTAAGAGAAATTGATACATTTAAAATAATCTAGCTTTGGTTATTTTTTGTTTTGTTAGTTTGTTCCTTTTTGTTTTATTTTTTATTTTTGTTCTATTTTTTAATTTAATTTTTAATTTTTAATTTTTAATTTTAAATTTTAATTTTTAAATTTTTGTTTATTATTTTCTGCATAGTCTCTTGTCCACACTCCAGTCTAGTTGGTGCCGCCAATAAACACTAAAGAAGTAGAAAAGATGATTTCAAAACCATATTTCCAGCAACTTAAGGGCTTGGTATGAGACTTCTCCACACAGGCTGCTGACGTCAAAAGGGGGACCCGAGAAACACAAGGCCAACATAGCAGATTACGTCTGGTTGGAGGGGACCTCCCATGCCGTCCGCTCAGATGGAAAGGGAGACAACTGGTATCACTGGAGCCAGTGTGCGGTTGGGAAAAACACCTGCGAGGACCCTAGACGACATCAGGAAAGAGTTGGCCCTCGTCGCGAGGACCCTAGACGACATCAGAACAGATCTGGCTCTCGTCAAGGCAGTCGACCCAGGAGGCGCCATCAGCGGGCCGGAGGAGGAGGATCAGGACATCTCTCCAGCAGTCGACCCGGAAGCCGCCATCAGCGGGCCGGAGGAGGAGGATCAGGACATCTCTCCAGCATCGACCCGGAAGCCGCCATCAGCGGGCCGGGGGAGAACAATCAGGCCACATCTCTCTAGCAAGCACCCCAGAAGCCGCCGTCAGCGGGCTGGGGGGACGAAGATATGGCAAACCAAGACGGCACAGGGAACTCCATTTCCCGCTGAAACAGGTTGATATAGCCGGTGTGGAACTTTGTCTGAACAATCCATTTTTTTTTTGAGGAACTTTCAACTTTATTTTTATATCCCACAATATAAGGGATTGGTATTTTTTATTCTACAGAACTATGTGTTACCAAAAGAGGGAAAAGTATGATAATGTCTTTTCTAATTTCTGTGGCTACTTTTATTGCCATTTTAGTGACATGTTGTTGTTGTGTGCCTTGTGTCTGCTCATTGTGTGTTAAGACTCATCAGTTCCACCATTGAGGGTAGAGTAAAGATGACTCAGCTGACAAGGACTTTGCTTTTTAGACATATTTTATTCTCCTTCCACTGTCATAATAAGTTGTTGTTGTGGACTGTTCCTAAAGGTTTAAAGTGCTCTATATCCCAACTTCTGATGGGTTTATATAAATGTTGGGACAGACACAGTAAGAAGAAAATTGACAGTGGTAATGTTTCAAATGCTATATGTTGATCTCGTGAGGTGAGATCAAAAGAGGGATTGAAGTAAGAAGATATGATTCTACACTGTATTGAAGTAAACATATATTGTTTGAACTGTTTTATGTAATCACAAACGGGTTTTGATAATCACTTAGAAAAAGAATGTTATTCTCACTTTTAAATTCACTGACTTAGAGATTCTGTGTTTCACACACCAACATTGATCCTTATCACCACTAAGAGCCAGATGCGGTCACTAAGTCGTTAAAAGACATCGTAAAATAAGTGGAGAAGAGTTTAAATGTCTGTGGGAGAAAGGTTAGGTGAAAATATCCCCTGGGAAAGGAATGTAGAGTAAGATAAGGTAAAGATAAACATTGACTTTTGACCTGGTGTGGTTTGGGATCTCACTCTGTTTGAAACTCTGATTGACCTCGGCCAGAAGCGAATCCAGCCAATCAGGACACTTGGGGGAGGTGGTCAGTTTAAACAGCTCCTCCCCAGGGGCTCTCTGATTCGCTTGGGAGTAAAGTGGGAAGGAAGAGATGACCCATCTCCGCCCCAAAGACAGATAGAAATACTGATGTTTGTGTGTGTAAAAATGCTTTTGGGTTTGGTGAGTGGTTTGATCCCGATATCTGTATCCGCTTCGCATCACAGACCTGAAGTCCAATTTCTTTTTGTTTGATGAGTTGGTTTGATCCCGACACATTTATCCGCTTCGCATCACAGACCTAAAAGCCCCGGAGTACCCGGAGTACTCTGTATAACTTGTATATGTGTTTGGTTTCCTACTAGAAGTAAACTCAGATAATTTGTTATAACTTTGATTCCGGTGTTTTCAATTCCTTTCTTAATTTAATAGAGATCCAGCCTCATCCAACGAACGGCGCGTAGCAGAGGTATTCTACTCCAACAATCCAGACCAAAAGTCCGGTGGGATGGCGACAGCGACTGCCACACCTCATCTACCAAGTTCTCCAGAACTCGGGTTGATCGAATGCCCGTCAACTCAGCCAGTGTTTCTGTGGAGACCCCCGTCAAATGGCCAAGTTTTACCACTCCCGCTTCAATGAACGCGTTCTTTAGGGTGGCTGAAGAGAAAAGGGTTCCAGAAAGAAAACCAGTGTCAAACAGTGGCTCCTCAAACAGCCACATCCCAGGCCGGGGGTCGGGTGGTCTGGTGAAACTCAGAATCTTCCAGGCATTGATGACTGAGCAGTAAAAAGGTGCAAGTCCAGTTATCTTGTAGGGTTAGGGTTAGGGTTAACCCTAACCCCTAACCCTAACCCGAAATAAAAGTGAAAACCCCTCTTCCCTCTTCAAACACACCTCCACCACCACCGAAGAAGAAGAAGAAGAAGAAGAAGAAGAAGAAGAAGAAGAAGAAGAAGAAGAAGAAGAAGAAGAAGAAGAAGAAGAAGTCTCCCTACCTTTCTGCTCCTTCAGGTACTCTGCGTTCTGTTTCATCCACAGCTCCGTCTTCACCTCGACCTCCCGATCATTCAGGATGTACTGCAGCAGGAAATGTTCACAATAAAGATTGTATAGAAGTCTATGAGGAAATGTTCCTACTTCTCTCTTTATTACCTCAGATTGTAGAGAAGTCTATGAGGAAATGTTCCTACTTCTCTCTCTCTTTATTATCTCAGATTGTAGAGAAGTCTATGAGGAAATGTTCCTACTTCTCTCTCTCTGTATTACCTCAGATTGTAGAGAAGTCTATGAGGAAAAGTTCCTACTTCTCTCTCTCTCTATTACCTCAGATTGTAGAGAAGTCTATGAGGAAATGTTCCTACTTCTCTCTCTCTTTATTACTTCAGATTGTAGAGAAGTCTATGAGGAAATGTTCCTACTTCTCTCTCTCTTTATTACCTCAGATTGTAGAGAAGTCTATGAGGAAATGTTCCTACTTCTCTCTTTGTTACCTCAGATTGTAGAGAAGTCTATGAGGAAGTGTTCCTACTTTTCTCTTTGTTACCTCAGATTGTAGAGAAGTCTATGAGGAAATGTTCCTACTTCTCTCTGTCTTTATTACCTCAGATTGTAGAGAAGTCTATGAGGAAATGTTCCCACTTCTCTCTCTCTCTATTACCTCAGATTGTAGAGAAGTCTATGAGGAAATGTTCCCACTTCTCTCTTTATTACCTCAGATTGTAGAGAAGTCTATGAGGAAATGTTCCTACTTCTCTCTCTCTCTATTACCTCAGATTGTAGAGAAGTCTATGAGGAAATGTTCCTACTTCTCTCTCTCTCTATTACCTCAGATTGTAGAGAAGTCTATGAGGAAATGTTCCTACTTCTCTCTCTCTATGTTACCTCAGATTGTAGAGAAGTCTATGAGGAAATGTTCCTACTTCTCTCTCTCTTTATTACCTCAGATTGTAGAGAAGTCTATGAGGAAATGTTCCTACTTCTCTCTTTATTACCTCAGATTGTAGAGAAGTCTATGAGGAAATGTTCCTACTTCTCTCTCTCTTTATTACCTCAGATTGTAGAGAAGTCTATGAGGAAATGTTCCTACTTCTCTCTTTATTACCTCAGATTGTAGAGAAGTCTATGAGGAAATGTTCCTACTTCTCTCTTTATTACCTCAGATTGTAGAGAAGTCTATGAGGAAATGTTCATACTTCTCTCTCTATTACCTCAGATTGTAGAGAAGTCTATGAGGAAATGTTCCTACTTCTCTCTCTCTCTATTACCTCAGATTGTAGAGAAGTCTATGAGGAAATGTTCCTACTTCTCTCTCTCTTTGTTACCTCAGATTGTAGAGAAGTCTATGAGGAAATGTTCCTACTTCTCTCTCTCTCTTTACCTCAGATTGTAGAGAAGTCTATGAGGAAAAGTTCCTACTTCTCTCTCTCTCTATTACCTCAGATTGTAGAGAAGTCTATGAGGAAATGTTCCTACTTCTCTCTTTATTACCTCAGATTGTAGAGAAGTCTATGAGGAAATGTTCCTACTTCTCTCTCTCTCTATTACCTCAGATTGTAGAGAAGTCTATGAGGAAATGTTCCTACTTCTCTCTCTCTTTATTACCTCAGATTGTAGAGAAGTCTATGAGGAAATGTTCCCACTTCTCTCTCTCTCTATTACCTCAGATTGTAGAGAAGTCTATGAGGAAATGTTCCTACTTCTCTCTCTCTCTATTACCTCAGATTGTAGAGAAGTCTATGAGGAAATGTTCCTACTTCTCTCTCTCTCTCTATCACCTCAGATTGTAGAGAAGTCTATGAGGAAATGTTCCTACTTCTCTCTCTCTTATTACCTCAGATTGTAGAGAAGTCTATGAGGAAATGTTCCTACTTCTCTCTCTTTATCACCTCAGATTGTAGAGAAGTCTATGAGGAAATGTTCCTACTTCTCTCTCTCTCTATTACCTCAGATTGTAGAGAAGTCTATGAGGAAATGTTCCTACTTCTCTCTCTCTGTATTACCTCAGATTGTAGAGAAGTCTATAAGGAAATGTTCCTACTTCTCTCTCTGTTACCTCAGATTGTAGAGAAGTCTATGAGGAAATGTTCCTACTTCTCTCTTTATTACCTCAGATTGTAGAGAAGTCTATGAGGAAATGTTCCTACTTCTCTCTTTATCACCTCAGATTGTAGAGAAGTCTATGAGGAAATGTTCCTACTTCTCTCTCTCTTTATTACCTCAGATTGTAGAGAAGTCTATGAGGAAATGTTCCTACTTCTCTCTCTCTGTATTACCTCAGATTGTAGAGAAGTGTATGAGGAAATGTTCCTACTTCTCTCTCTCTCTATTACCTCAGATTGTAGAGAAGTCTATGAGGAAATGTTCCTACTTCTCTCTCTCTTTGTTACCTCAGATTGTAGAGAAGTCTATGAGGAAATGTTCCTACTTCTCTCTCTCTGTATTACCTCAGATTGTAGAGAAGTATATGAGGAAATGTTCCTACTTCTCTCTCTCTTTATTACCTCAGATTGTAGAGAAGTCTATGAGGAAATGTTCCTACTTCTCTCTCTCTGTATTACCTCAGATTGTATAGAAGTCTATGAGGAAAATGTTCCTACTTCTCTCTCTCTGTATTACCTCAGATTGTATAGAAGTCTATGAGGAAATGTTCCTACTTCTCTCTCTCTCTATTACCTCAGATTGTAGAGAAGTCTATGAGGAATATGTTCCTACTTCTCTCTCTATTACCTCAGATTGGTAGAGAAGTCTATGAGGAAATGTTCCTACTTCTCTCTCTATTACCTCAGATTGTAGAGAAGTCTATGAGGAAATGTTCCTACTTCTCTCCTATTACCTTCAGATTGTAGAGAAGTCTATGAGGAAATGTTCCTACTTCTCTGTCTCTTTGTTACCTCAGATTGTAGAGAAGTCTATGAGGAAATGTTCCTACTTCTCTCTCTCTTTATTACCTCAGATTGTATAGAAGTCTATGAGGAAATGTTCCTACTTCTCTCTCTCTGTATTACCTCAGATTGTATAGAAGTCTATGAGGAAATGTTCCTACTTCTCTCTCTCTATTACCTCAGATTGTAGAGAAGTCTATGAGGAAATGTTCCTACTTCTCTCTCTCTGTATTACCTCAGATTGTAGAGAAGTCTATGAGGAAATGTTCCTACTTCTCCCTTTATTACCTCAGATTGTAGAGAAGTCTATGAGGAAATGTTCCTACTTCTCTCTTTATTACCTCAGATTGTATAGAAGTCTATGAGGAAATGTTCCTACTTCTCTCTCTCTCTTTATTACCTCAGATTGTAGAGAAGTCTATGAGGAAATGTTCCTACTTCTCTCTTTATTACCTCAGATTGTATAGAAGTCTATGAGGAAATGTTCCTACTTCTCTCTCTCTCTTTATTACCTCAGATTGTAGAGAAGTCTATGAGGAAATGTTCCTACTTCTCTCTCTCTTTATTACCTCAGATTGTATAGAAGTCTATGAGGAAATGTTTCCTACTTCTCTCTCTCTATTACCTCAGATTGTAGAGAAGTCTATGAGGAAATGTTCCTACTTCTCTCTCTCTTTAGTTACCTCAGATTGTAGAGAAGTCTATGAGGAAATGTTCCTACTTCTCTCTCTCTTTATTACCTCAGATTGTAGAGAAGTCTATGAGGAAATGTTCCTACTTCTCTCTCTCTTGTTACCTCAGATTGTAGAGAAGTCTATGAGGAAATGTTCCTACTTCTCTCTCTCTTTTTTACCTCAGATTGTAGAGAAGTCTATGAGGAAATGTTCCTACTTCTCTCTCTCTTTGTTACCTCAGATTGTAGAGAAGTCTATGAGGAAATGTTCCTACTTCTCTCTCTCTCTTTATTACCTCAGATTGTAGAGAAGTCTATGAGGAAATGTTCCTACTTCTCTCTCTCTCTATCACCTCAGATTGTAGAGAAGTCTATGAGAGTCTGTGGTACAGCATAATTGATGGACTGACCTTATCAATCTCCTGATCATCGATATCCTTCAGGTCCAGCTCTCCACTCTCAGACTGCTCATCTGTAAAACCGCAGAGACAGATGAACATCATTAACCTTTGTGTCATAAACAAAGTGCCTGCTGCTAGGATCCATCCAAACACATCGATTTGTACTTTTGTGATTGAAGCAAAGTCAACCATTTTTCAACCTAAATTTTTTTTTAAAGCTATTACTCGCTCTCTGTTTAAGTCATTTACTCTTAAATTATAAAAAAATCTATGTCTGTGTTGTGATTCCACCAGAGCTCTTTGTAGCATGCATTAGCTTTGTCTAAGCAGGTGATTCTTACCGTCTGGTTTCCCGCCTGTTTCCTCACCGAAGGTCTGGAAGGTCTTCTGGAGGCTGAGGCTGGCGGCGCTCGGCAGCTGACCCAGAATGACGGCCAAAGGGGCGGCCAGGCGCTGAGGCCCCGCCCCCTCGTTCTCCGGCCCCGCTCCCTGCTCGCTGTCATCGGCCTTCTTGCCATGCCTGTCCTCCTCATGGATCACCTGGTTCAGGAAGGTCTGTGTCAGGTGTTGGGCGGCGGCATTGAGCTCTGCCTCCTCGACCTCCGGCACCTCGGGTTCAGAGGTCAGGGACAACAACTCGGCGTCTTCCGGGTCTGAAAATGGAGGAGTAAAGGGTTGATGAATGTTCTAGATTTTGCGGGAGAGTTTCTTGACTTAGAATCAGTACAAACCAATTTCTTTGGCGTAGGCGGCGTAGATTCCTCTCAGTTTAGGGCGGCTCTTCTCCAGCTCACTCTCAATCTCGTCTTTGTAGCAGCTGATCTCTCCTGAAAGGACAAGGTAAAGGGTTTTAGTTTAAAATAATTCCTCGCTTTAAAGTGTCCTCAATCCTTCTTTTAGTTGCCTCTAAAGTGTCCTAAATGATCCGTGCAGTTCTCTCTAAAGTGTCCTAAATGATCCCTTAAGTTCTCTCTGAAGTGTCCTAAATGATCCCTACAGTGATCTCTAAAGTGTCCTAAATGAACCCTACAGTGATCTCTAAAGTGTCCTAAATGATCCCTACAGTTCTCTCTGGAGTGTCCTAAATGATCCCTACAGTTCTCTCTAAAGTGTCCTAAATGATCCCTACAGTTCTCTCTGAAGTGTTCTAAATGATCCCTACAGTTCTCTCTAAAGTGTCCTAAATGATCCCTTAAGTTCTCTCTGAAGTGTCCTAAATGATCCCTACAGTGATCTCTAAAGTGTCCTAAATGATCCCTACAGTTCTCTCTGAAGTGTCCTAAATGATCCCTACAGTTCTCTCTGAAGTGTCCTAAATGATCCCTACAGTTCTCTCTGAAGTGTCCTAAATGATCCCTACAGTTCTCTCTGAAGTGTCCTAAATGATCCCTACAGTTCTCTCTGAAGTGTCCTAAATGATCCCTACAGTTCTCTCTGGAGTGTCCTAAATGATCCCTACAGTTCTCTCTGGAGTGTCCTAAATGATCCCTACAGTTCTCTCTGGAGTGTCCTAATTATCCCTACAGTTCTCTCTGGAGTGTCCTAAATGATCCCTACAGTTCTCTCTGGAGTGTCCTAAATGATCCCTACAGTTCTCTCTGAAGTGTCCTAAATGATCCCTACAGTTCTCTCTGGAGTGTCCTAAATGATCCCTACAGTTCTCTCTGGAGTGTCCTAAATGATCCCTACAGTTCTCTCTGGAGTGTCCTAAATGATCCCTACAGTTCTCTCTGAAGTGTCCTAAATGATCCCTACAGTTCTCTCTGAAGTGTCCTAAATGATCCCTACAGTGATCTCTGAAGTGTCCTAAATGATCCCTACAGTTCTCTCTGGAGTGTCCTAAATGATCCCTACAGTGATCTCTGAAGTGTCCTAAATGATCCCTACAGTGATCTCTGAAGTGTCCTAAATGATCCCTACAGTTCTCTCTGAAGTGTCCTAAATGATCCCTACAGTGATCTCTAAAGTGTCCTAAATGATCCCTACAGTTCTCTCTGAAGTGTCCTAAATGATCCCTACAGTGATCTCTAAAGTGTCCTAAATGATCCCTACAGTGATCTCTGAAGTGTCCTAAATGATCCCTACAGTTCTCTGTGAAGTGTCCTAAATGATCCCTACAGTTCTCTCTGAAGTGTCCTAAATGATCCCTACAGTTCTCTCTGGAGTGTCCTAAATGATCCCTACAGTTCTCTCTGGAGTGTCCTAAATGATCTCTACAGTTCTCTCTGGAGTGTCCTAAATGATCCCTACAGTTCTCTCTGAAGTGTCCTAAATGATCCCTACAGTGATCTCTGAAGTGTCCTAAATGATCCCTACAGTTCTCTCTGGAGTGTCCTAAATGATCCCTACAGTGATCTCTGAAGTGTCCTAAATGATCCCTACAGTTCTCTCTGAAGTGTCCTAAATGATCCCTACAGTTCTCTCTAAAGTGTCCTAAATGATCCCTACAGTTCTCTCTGAAGTGTCCTAAATGATCCCTACAGTGATCTCTGAAGTGTCCTAAATGATCCCTACAGTGATCTCTAAAGTGTCCTAAATGATCCCTACAGTTCTCTCTAAAGTGTCCTAAATGATCCCTACAGTGATCTCTGAAGTGTCCTAAATGATCCCTACAGTTCTCTCTAAAGTGTCCTAAATGATCCCTACAGTTCTCTCTGGAGTGTCCTAAATGATCCCTACAGTGATCTCTGGAGTGTCCTAAATGATCCCTACAGTGATCTCTGAAGTGTCCTAAAAGATCCCTACAGTTCTCTCTTAAGTGTCCTAAATGATCCCTACAGTTCTCTCTGGAGTGTCCTAAATGATCCCTACAGTGATCTCTGAAGTGTCCTAAATGATCCCTACAGTTTTCTCTGGAGTGTCCTAAATGATCCCTACAGTGATCTCTGAAGTGTCCTAAATGATCCCTACAGTGATCTCTGAAGTGTCCTAAATGATCCCTACAGTGATCTCTGAAGTGTCCTAAATTATCCCTACAGTGATCTCTAAAGTGTCCTAAATGATCCCTACAGTTCTCTCTAAAGTGTCCTCAGTGATCTCTAAAGTGTCCTAAATGATCCCTACAGTTCTCTCTGGAGTGTCCTAAATGATCCCTACAGTTCTCTCTAAAGTGTCCTAAATGATCCCTACAGTGATCTCTAAAGTGTCCTAAATGATCCCTACAGTGATCTCTGAAGTGTCCTAAATGATCCCTACAGTTCTCTCTAAAGTGTCCTAAATGATCCCTACAGTGATCTCTGAAGTGTCCTAAATGATCCCTACAGTTCTCTCTGAAGTGTCCTAAATGATCCCTACAGTGATCTCTAAAGTGTCCTAAATGATCCCTACAGTGATCTCTAAAGTGTCCTAAATGATCCCTACAGTTCTCTCTGAAGTGTCCTAAATGATCCCTACAGTTCTCTCTGAAGTGTCCTAAATGATCCCTACAGTTCTCTCTGGAGTGTCCTAAATGATCCCTACAGTTCTCTCTGAAGTGTCCTAAATGATCCCTACAGTTCTCTCTAAAGTGTCCTAAATGATCCCTACAGTTCTCTCTGGAGTGTCCTAAATGATCCCTACAGTGATCTCTGAAGTGTTCTAAATGATCCCTACAGTTCTCTCTAAAGTGTCCTAAATGATCCTTACAGTTCTCTCTAAAGTGTCCTAAATGATCCCTACAGTTCTCTCTGGAGTGTCCTAAATGATCCCTACAGTGATCTCTGAAGTGTCCTAAATGATCCCTACAGTTCTCTCTAAAGTGTCCTAAATGATCCTTACAGTTCTCTCTAAAGTGTCCTAAATGATCCCTACAGTTCTCTCTGGAGTGTCCTAAATGATCCCTACAGTGATCTCTGAAGTGTTCTAAATGATCCCTACAGTTCTCTCTAAAGTGTCCTAAATGATCCTTACAGTTCTTTTTAAAGTGTCCTAAATGATCCCTACAGTGATCTCTGAAGTGTCCTAAATGATCCCTACAGTGATCTCTAAAGTGTCCTAAATGATCCCTACAGTTCTCTCTAAAGTGTCCTAAATGATCCCTACAGTTCTCTCTAAAGTGTCCTAAATGATCCCTACAGTTCTCTCTGGAGTGTCCTAAATGATCCCTACAGTGATCTCTAAAGTGTCCTAAATGATCCCTACAGTTCTCTCTGAAGTGTCCTAAATGATCCCTACAGTGATCTCTGAAGTGTCCTAAATGATCCCTACAGTTCTCTCTGAAGTGTCCTAAATGATCCCTACAGTGATCTCTGAAGTGTCCTAAATGATCCCTACAGTTCTCTCTGAAGTGTCCTAAATGATCCCTACAGTGATCTCTGAAGTGTTCTAAATGATCGCTACAGTTCTCTCTAAAGTGTCCTAAATGATCCCTACAGTGATCTCTGAAGTGTTCTAAATGATCCCTACAGTTCTCTCTAAAGTGTCCTAAATGATCCCTACAGTGATCTCTAAAGTGTCCTAAATGATCCCTACAGTTCTCTCTGAAGTGTCCTAAATTATCCCTACAGTTCTCTCTGAAGTGTCCTAAATGATCCCTACAGTGATCTCTGAAGTGTCCTAAATGATCCCTTAAGTTCTCTCTAAAGTGTCCTAAATGATCCCTACAGTGATCTCTGAAGTGTCCTAAATGATCCCTTAAGTTCTCTCTAAAGTGTCCTAAATGATCCCTACAGTTCTCTCTGAAGTGTCCTAAATGATCCCTACAGTGATCTCTGAAGTGTTCTAAATGATCCCTACAGTTCTCTCTAAAGTGTCCTAAATGATCCCTACAGTTCTCTCTGAAGTGTCCTAAATGATCCCTACAGTTCTCTCTAAAGTGTCCTAAATGATCCCTACAGTGATCTCTGAAGTGTCCTAAATGATCCCTACAGTTCTCTCTGGAGTGTCCTAAATGATCCCTACAGTTCTCTCTAAAGTGTCCTAAATGATCCCTACAGTGATCTCTGAAGTGTCCTAAATGATCCCTACAGTTCTCTCTGAAGTGTCCTAAATGATCCCTACAGTTCTCTCTAAAGTGTCCTAAATGATCCCTACAGTGATCTCTGAAGTGTCCTAAATGATCCCTACAGTTCTCTCTGGAGTGTCCTAAATGATCCCTACAGTTCTCTCTGAAGTGTCCTAAATGATCCCTACAGTGATCTCTGAAATGTTCTAAATGATCCCTACAGTTCTCTCTAAAGTGTCCTAAATGATCCCTACAGTTCTCTCTGGAGTGTCCTAAATGATCCCTACAGTTCTCTCTAAAGTGTCCTAAATGATCCCTACAGTATCTCTGAATGGTCCTAATGATCCCTACAGTTCTCTCTGAAGTGTCCTAAATGATCCCTACAGTTCTCTCTGAAGTGTCCTAAATGATCCCTACAGTGACTCTCTGAAATGTTCTAAATGATCCCTACAGTTCTCTCTAAAGTGTCCTAATGACCCTCCATTGATCTCTGAAGTGTCCTAAATGATCCCTACAGTTCTCTCTAAAGTGTCCTAAATGATCCCTACAGTTCTCTCTGAAGTGTCCTAAATGATCCCTACAGTTCTCTCTGAAGTGTCCTAAATGATCCCTACAGTTCTCTCTAAGTGTCCTAAATGATCCCTACAGTTCTCTCTGAAAGTGTCCTAAATGATCCCTACAGTTCTCTCTGAAGTGTCCTAAATGATCCCTACAGTTCTCTCTAAAGTGTCCTAAATGATCCCTACAGTTCTCTCTGAAAGTGTCCTAAATGATCCCTACAGTTCTCTCTAAAGTGTCCTAAATGATCCCTACAGTTCTCTGAAGTGTCCTAAATGATCCCTACAGTTCTCTCTAAGTGTCCTAAATGATCCCTACAGTTCTCTCTAAAGTGTCCTAAATGATCCCTACAGTGATCTCTGAAGTGTCCTAAATGATCCCTACAGTTCTCTCTGAAGTGTCCTAAATGATCCCTACAGTTCTCTCTAAGTGTCCTAAATGATCCCTACAGTGATCTCTGAAGTGTCCTAAATGATCCCTACAGTTCTCTCTGAAGTGTCCTAAATGATCCCTACAGTGATCTCTAAGTGTCCTAAATGATCCCTACAGTTCTCTCTGAAAGTGTCCTAAATGATCCCTACAGTTCTCTCTGGAGTGTCCTAAATGATCCCTACAGTTCTCTCTGAAGTGTCCTAAATGATCCCTACAGTTCTCTCTAAAGTGTCCTAAATGATCCCTACAGTTCTCTCTGAAGTGTCCTAAATGATCCCTACAGTGATCTCTAAAGTGTCCTAAATGATCCCTACAGTTCTCTCTGAAGTGTCCTAAATGATCCCTACAGTTCTCTCTGGAGTGTCCTAAATGATCCCTACAGTGATCTCTGAAGTGTTCTAAATGATCCCTACAGTTCTCTCTAAAGTGTCCTAAATGATCCTTACAGTTCTCTCTAAAGTGTCCTAAATGATCCCTACAGTGATCTCTGAAGTGTCCTAAATGATCCCTACAGTGATCTCTAAAGTGTCCTAAATGATCCCTACAGTTCTCTCTGAAGTGTCCTAAATGATCCCTACAGTGATCTCTGAAGTGTCCTAAATGATCCCTACAGTTCTCTCTAAAGTGTCCTAAATGATCCCTACAGTGATCTCTGAAGTGTCCTAAATGATCCCTACAGTGATCTCTGAAGTGTTCTAAATGATCCCTACAGTTCTCTCTAAAGTGTCCTAAATGATCCTTACAGTTCTCTCTAAAGTGTCCTAAATGATCCCTACAGTGATCTCTGAAGTGTCCTAAATGATCCCTACAGTGATCTCTAAAGTGTCCTAAATGATCCCTACAGTGATCTCTAAAGTGTCCTAAATGATCCCTACAGTTCTCTCTGAAGTGTCCTAAATGATCCCTACAGTGATCTCTGAAGTGTTCTAAATGATCCCTACAGTTCTCTCTGAAGTGTCCTAAATGATCCCTACAGTTCTCTCTAAAGTGTCCTAAATGATCCCTACAGTGATCTCTAAAGTGTCCTAAATGATCCCTACAGTTCTCTCTGAAGTGTCCTAAATGATCCCTACAGTGATCTCTAAAGTGTCCTAAATGATCCCTACAGTGATCTCTAAAGTGTCCTAAATGATCCCTACAGTTCTCTCTGAAGTGTCCTAAATGATCCCTACAGTTCTCTCTGAAGTGTCCTAAATGATCCCTACAGTTCTCTCTGGAGTGTCCTAAATTATCCCTACAGTTCTCTCTGAAGTGTCCTAAATGATCCCTACAGTTCTCTCTGAAGTGTCCTAAATGATCCCTACAGTTCTCTCTGAAGTGTCCTAAATGATCCCTACAGTGATCTCTGAAGTGTCCTAAATGATCCCTTAAGTTCTCTCTAAAGTGTCCTAAATGATCCCTACAGTGATCTCTGAAGTGTCCTAAATGATCCCTTAAGTTCTCTCTAAAGTGTCCTAAATGATCCCTACAGTGATCTCTGAAGTGTCCTAAATGATCCCTTAAGTTCTCTCTGGAGTGTCCTAAATGATCCCTACAGTTCTCTCTAAAGTGTCCTAAATGATCCCTACAGTTCTCTCTGAAGTGTCCTAAATGATCCCTACAGTGATCTCTGAAGTGTTCTAAATGATCCCTACAGTTCTCTCTAAAGTGTCCTAAATGATCCCTACAGTTCTCTCTGAAGTGTCCTAAATGATCCCTACAGTGATCTCTGAAGTGTCCTAAATGATCCCTACAGTTCTCTCTGGAGTGTCCTAAATGATCCCTACAGTTCTCTCTAAAGTGTCCTAAATGATCCCTACAGTTCTCTCTGAAGTGTTCTAAATGATCCCTACAGTTCTCTCTGAAGTGTCCTAAATGATCCCTACAGTTCTCTCTAAAGTGTCCTAAATGATCCCTACAGTGATCTCTGAAGTGTCCTAAATGATCCCTACAGTTCTCTCTGGAGTGTCCTAAATGATCCCTACAGTTCTCTCTAAAGTGTCCTAAATGATCCCTACAGTTCTCTCTGAAGTGTTCTAAATGATCCCTACAGTTCTCTCTGAAGTGTTCTAAATGATCCCTACAGTTCTCTCTGAAGTGTCCTAAATGATCCCTACAGTTCTCTCTAAAGTGTCCTAAATGATCCCTACAGTGATCTCTAAAGTGTCCTAAATGATCCCTACAGTTCTCTCTGGAGTGTCCTAAATGATCCCTACAGTTCTCTCTAAAGTGTCCTAAATGATCCCTACAGTTCTCTCTGAAGTGTTCTAAATGATCCCTACAGTTCTCTCTGAAGTGTCCTAAATGATCCCTACAGTTCTCTCTAAAGTGTCCTAAATGATCCCTACAGTGATCTCTAAAGTGTCCTAAATGATCCCTACAGTTCTCTCTGAAGTGTCCTAAATGATCCCTACAGTGATCTCTAAAGTGTCCTAAATGATCCCTACAGTGATCTCTAAAGTGTCCTAAATGATCCCTACAGTTCTCTCTGAAGTGTCCTAAATGATCCCTACAGTGATCTCTAAAGTGTCCTAAATGATCCCTACAGTTCTCTCTGAAGTGTCCTAAATGATCCCTACAGTTCTCTCTGGAGTGTCCTAAATGATCCCTACAGTGATCTCTGAAGTGTCCTAAATGATCCCTACAGTGATCTCTGAAGTGTTCTAAATGATCCCTACAGTTCTCTCTGGAGTGTCCTAAATTATCCCTACAGTTCTCTCTGAAGTGTCCTAAATGATCCCTACAGTGATCTCTGAAGTGTTCTAAATGATCCCTACAGTTCTCTCTGGAGTGTCCTAAATTATCCCTACAGTTCTCTCTGAAGTGTCCTAAATGATCCCTACAGTGATCTCTGAAGTGTCCTAAATGATCCCTTAAGTTCTCTCTAAAGTGTCCTAAATGATCCCTACAGTGATCTCTGAAGTGTCCTAAATGATCCCTACAGTTCTCTCTAAAGTGTCCTAAATGATCCCTACAGTTCTCTCTGAAGTGTTCTAAATGATCCCTACAGTTCTCTCTGAAGTGTCCTAAATGATCCCTACAGTTCTCTCTGAAGTGTTCTAAATGATCCCTACAGTTCTCTCTAAAGTGTCCTAAATGATCCCTACAGTTCTCTCTGAAGTGTCCTAAATGATCCCTACAATTCTCTCTAAAGTGTCCTAAATTATCCCTACAGTTCTCTCTGGAGTGTCCTAAATGATCCCTACAGTTCTCTCTAAAGTGTCCTAAATGATCCCTACAGTTCTCTCTGAAGTGTCCTAAATGATCCCTACAATTCTCTCTAAAGTGTCCTAAATGATCCCTACAGTGATCTCTGAAGTGTCCTAAATGATCCCTACAGTTCTCTCTGGAGTGTCCTAAATGATCCCTACAGTTCTCTCTAAAGTGTCCTAAATGATCCCTACAGTTCTCTCTGAAGTGTCCTAAAGGATCCCTACAATTCTCTCTAAAGTGTCCTAAATGATCCCTACAGTTCTCTCTGGAGTGTCCTAAATGATCCCTACAGTGATCTCTGAAGTGTCCTAAATGATCCCTACAGTGATCTCTGAAGTGTCCTAAATGATCCCTACAGTTCTCTCTAAAGTGTCCTAAATAATCCCTACAGTTCTCTCTGAAGTGTCCTAAATGATCCCTACAGTTCTCTCTGAAGTGTCCTAAATGATCCCTACAGTGATCTCTGAAGTGTCCTAAATGATCCCTACAGTTCTCGCTGGAGTGTCCTAAATGATCCCTACAGTGATCTCTAAAGTGTCCTAAATGATCCCTACAGTTCTCTCTGAAGTGTCCTAAATGATCCCTACAGTGATCTCTAAAGTGTCCTAAATGATCCCTACAGTTCTCGCTGGAGTGTCCTAAATGATCCCTACAGTGATCTCTAAAGTGTCCTAAATGATCCCTACAGTTCTCTCTGAAGTGTCCTAAATGATCCCTACAGTTCTCTCTGAAGTGTCCTAAATGATCCCTACAGTTCTCTCTAAAGTGTCCTAAATGATCCCTACAGTTCTCGCTGGAGTGTCCTAAATGATCCCTACAGTGATCTCTAAAGTGTCCTAAATGATCCCTACAGTTCTCTCTGAAGTGTCCTAAATGATCCCTACAGTGATCTCTAAAGTGTCCTAAATGATCCCTACAGTTCTCTCTGGAGTGTCCTAAATGATCCCTACAGTGATCTCTAAAGTGTCCTAAATGATCCCTACAGTGATCTCTGGAGTGTCCTAAATGATCCCTACAGTGATCTCTAAAGTGTCCTAAATGATCCCTACAGTGATCTCTGGAGTGTCCTAAATGATCCCTACAGTTCTCTCTGGAGTGTCCTAAATGATCCCTACAGTTCTCTCTGGAGTGTCCTAAATGATCCCTACAGTGATCTCTGGAGTGTCCTAAATGATCCCTACAGTTCTCTCTGGAGTGTCCTAAATGATCCCTACAGTGATCTCTAAAGTGTCCTAAATGATCCCTACAGTTCTCTCTGAAGTGTCCTAAATGATCCCTACAGTGATCTCTGGAGTGTCCTAAATGATCCCTACAGTGATCTCTAAAGTGTCCTAAATGATCCCTATAGTTCTCTCTGAAGTGTCCTAAATGATCCCTACAGTGATCTCTGGAGTGTCCTAAATGATCCCTACAGTGATCTCTAAAGTGTCCTAAATGATCCCTACAGTGATCTCTAAAGTGTCCTAAATGATCCCTACAGTGATCTCTTGTGTGTCCTAAAAAGATCTCTGGGTAGGAGAAAGAAACTGACCTTCGACCTCATCTAGTTTCCTGGCCAGCTCGTGTTCCAGCTGCAGAAGAAGAAGAGAGTAACATGATCAGTTGGATCATTGGATCTTTGTGAACTCATCTGGCAGCAGCCAATCAGAGACCGAGTGATTTACCTGCTGCATCTTGGCTTTGTGCTTTGAGGCAGTGAAGGAGGGCGGATCACATTCCTGCTCCAGGTCTACCTTCATGAACTCATCGATGGTCAGCTGACTGGTGGGCGTGTCCTCAAACTCTGTTAACCTGCAGGGCGGAGAGAGGACTCTAATCTAAAGCTTATGATTTACTATGATCTACACCAGGGGTGGGGAACCTCCGGCCCCCGGGCTGTATACGGCCCGCGAGACAATTTGATACGGCCCTCGAGGTAATTTATAAACACACGCAAAAAAGAAAAAAAATTAAGAAATCTAGACCGCAAAAGAATTAAACAAGCGAGTGCCTGTTTTTCCTGGCCAAGGTCAGGGTCCTTGAACACAACACGAGCCTAACGTGTCCTCACGTGGTATATGTCTCGTCTGACAGGGGTGCAGTGTTGATGGAGAGCACCAGAACGCCGCTCCGGCACTTCAGAGATTGCAGTACCCATAAGGAGCCGTACACATGCTGCAGTTTCTGCGTGGCTGTGTCTTTAGCTGAAAGCCCAGAGGAGATCTGTTCATCTGTCATACTGATCATACAGTCAATCACTTTGCTGTTATTAGCATCTGGTTAGCTAGCTATGCTAACGAATATAAGAAGCTTTTTCTACAACCAGTGAGGTAAAGGCACATCTTTATATGATCATTATAGTTATAAAAAAATGAGAGAATAAAGTAAACAGGTATAAAATACTATGTGACAGTAAAAACAAGTTGTTATTAATAAACAAGAATACAGTTTGAAAGGAGAGTTATTTGTAAAATATCCATAAAGAAAAATAAAATCTGCTTCCAGTTCTGTTTCATGTGTTGAGAGATGTTTCCATAGATCTCTTAATGTTGCTCTCAAATGGCGCATTTCCACTACACGGCCTCGCTCGGCCTCGCTCGGTATGGCTAGGCCTCGTTAGGACTGGCTCACTTCATGCTGCGCTTCCATTACAGTTTAGGAACTGGGGTAGTTACTATAGTAACGCAGTGTAGGCGGAGCCGTGACGTGATCTTCAATGAGAACTCCAGAAAAACAACACAGCTGTTAGCTGTTAGCACTCAGAGATCACAGCTCCTCATATCTGTTCAGAAACTAGACAAAAGTGAAACAAGTACAAACCACAGACTGCCTGTGTCATGGTGAATACAGTCGCTGCTTTATTTATGTCTGTAGGCCGTTGTTGTGAGTGTGGACGGTCGGAGCATATACTGCGTTAGCTTAGCCGATCTCCATCTAGAAAACACGCATTTTAAAAGGTTTTTCGCCTGCCGTCTGTCTGCAGACTTGTCAAAGCATTAATTCATGGTTTTTACTAACCGGTATCAGTATGTTGTTACTTCGGCATCATTTTGAAACGTGTATTACAATTAAATCACGGTCAAATATGTCCATCTTGTTGTAGTTGTAGCCCCCTTGCCAGCGATTCTCTCTCTAGTTTAGCATACTCAGCCCGACTCAGCCTCGTTGTTGGCCCCGATAGAACCACGATTTTGTCGGGCCAGAAAAAAGGTGAAAAAGTGGCCCCGGGCCGGAACTAGGCATAGTGGAAACGCAACCAAAAACGGGCCCGGCACGACACGGCACGCTTAAACCGCGCTCTGCGCCATGGTGGAAATGCGCCATAAGTGCACCAGATTGATGCTTCTAACTTCAACATTTAAAAAAAATAAAATCGTCCCGGGGGAGCCCCCTAGAGGATGTGAGGTCCATCCCTAGAGGAGGTTGGGTCCCCCTGCCACTTAAATCATGTTCACAAGGATAGGAAACTAAATACATTTGCACACATCTTGTGTCCATATCTTTCTGTTTTGGTGGTCATGCCACACCGTGCACGTGCATGCATGCCACACCGTGCACGTGCATGCATCTCACACCGTGCACGTGCATGCATACGTGAGTCATTGTAAGATATCTGGATTAAGAGGTTGCTTTTTCTTTGCACAGCATGAAAGAAAGGCGAAATGAATGGGCTGTGATTTTAGTATTTTTAAGCAGAGGTCAATAATTTGTACGGCCCTCGGAGGATGTTTAAAAAATTGAAATGGCCCTTGAGAGGAAAAAGGTTCCCCACCCCTGATCTACAGAGATCTAGAGTGATCTGCTCTCACCTCTTCCTCAGAGTTGTCTGGCACACCTTCACCACACTGATAACGTCCTTCACCGTTCGTCGAAACTTGTGCATCCGAGCTGCTACCAGGAGAGCTGGGGGGGACAGATGGTGAACACATGACAGGTGGTGAACACATGACAGATGGTGAACACATGACAGGTGGTGAACACATGACAGATGGTGAACACATGACAGATGGTGAACACATGACAGATGGTGAACACATGACAGGTGGTGAACACATGACAGATGGTGAACACATGACAGATGGTGAATACATGACAGGTGGTGAATAGATGATAGATGGTGAATAGATGATAGATGGTGAATAGATAGATGATAGATGGTGAATAGATAGATGATAGATGGTGAATAGATGATAGATGGTGAATAGATGACAGATGGTGAATAGATAGATGATAGATGGTGAATAGATAGATGACAGATGGTGAATAGATAGATGATAGATGGTGAATAGATAGATGATAGATGGTGAATAGATAGATGTCAGATGGTGAACACATGACAGATGGTGAACACATGACAGATGGTGAACACATGACAGATGGTGAACACATGACAGATGGTGAATATGGTTGTTCTTTGCTGTTTCCATGTTAACACCATGCTGTACCTGCTCCACAGAGTCCAGAGGGCCGGCGCCCGGTGTGCATCCAGTCCCTCTTCATCCTCTGCACCAGGCGCAGAGCCGTCATGGACACCTCGTGAGTCTGGCCCCCGAACTCCAGCATGTGGGCGAAGCGGGGGATGTACAGGCAGGGGTCTGGGGGGGGGGAGGGGGCACCGTCAGCTGGCTAACCATATTCATGATTAACATTCGTTGTTTGTGGAAGCTCCAGTGAATGAGCATTAACTGAGTTTTAAACATCACTTTAAATGGAAGATTTAAAGTGATGTTTAAATCTTCCATTTTGGCCCCGCCCACTCGATCGGATCGGCGATCGGTATCGGCCGATACTGATTCCGGCGATAGGCGATCGCCCCCAAAATTGGCGATCGGAGCATCCCTAATCATGATGATGCTCTGGGTATTACAGGTGGCACGTTCAGGAAACATCAGGAAACTGAGAGACGATTGTTTTACTCTGTCCTCCAACCCAGCCTTACCTCTGGTGGTTATTTAAATATACAGTTTAACAGTTGAAATGATAAAGTAATAAAGGTTCTCACCGATGGCGGGAGCGTTGATGCAGAGCTCCCGAGCCAACAGCAGGAACGTTTTTCCAAGGATGTAAACGTTCACCTGAGCACATCATACAAACCTGACATTTATAAACATATTGTTGTGAAAATACTAAATGTACTCTTTCAAGGACAGAGGTGCTCATGATAACAAAGGCCCAAGTGTATAACAGTGTCAGGATGTATGAAGAGCATCAGGACTGTTTTAGGCATATGATAGCTAAGTGATGAACATGATGATTCAGCCTCTAGGGCAGGGCTAGTGGAGCACGCTCATGTACTGCGGAGCGCATAAAGCTTAGCAGACTCTTCTCGCTAACCAAGGATCACTTCTTCTTCAGGGCAGGGAAGGCTACGCAGTACGCAGGCTACTGTCCCGCAGCTGCTGCCTCTCTGTTGGACTCCGGTACTGCACATTACTCACGAGACGTTGAGTGAGTAAGTGTGGGGGGCAAACGCACTAACCACTCCGCCAACGCCACAGTCACCCCCGCCGTGCGGGCCGGATGAGAATGTCTGGCGGTTGATGGTCACTGCTCTAGGGAGGTGATGATGATGACGTGGGCCTCAGCTAACCTGAACTAAGCTTTGAATATATATACATTATATACTGCTTTGAACCAGTATTCCTGCATCTTGTGACACCCTCTCTGTATATAAGCGATGGTACAGTGAAGGACACTGTACCATATGCTCTGTGTGTGATGACTACTTCCTGTCTTGCAGGGATAATAAATACATGGATCCTGATATGAAACTTTTTCTAACACATATACAAATAAATAAGTAAACAGACTATCCGTGGGTCCTACCTGCAGCAGGTCACTCAGGTCCAGCAGCATGTCTGAAACACAGCTCAGGAAAACCAGCACAACCAGCGGGGGTCAAAGGAACAGCATTATATCCTTCAGAATAAAAGCAGGGGAGAGAGGATACGTGGCGTCCCCTCAGTGCGACACACCAGGTAGAGGCAGGCGGCGATCACGTGCTCCGTCTTCCTTCCTCGAGTCAGGTGCTTACTCACCACCATCTTGAAGAAGTTGAAGGCCGTGTCCAGGCAGTGTTGGTTCAGTTTCAGCTGACTGCCCAGCTGCTGGATCTGACGCTTCCCTAACACAGGAAGGCAGCTGTCAGGAGGCTGACAGGAGGCTGACAGGAGGCTGACAGGAGGCTGACAGGAAGCTGACAGGAGGCTGACAGGGAGCTGACAGGGGGCTGACAGGGGGCTGAAAGGAGGCTGAAAGGAGGCTGACAGGGAGCTGACAGGAGGCTGACAGGGAGCTGACAGGAGGCTGACAGGAAGCTGACAGGAGGCTGACAGGAGGCTGACAGGGAGCTGACAGGAAGCTGACAGGAGGCTGACAGGAAGCTGACAGGGAGCTGACAGGAGGCTGACAGGAAGCTGACAGGAGGCTGACAGGAGGCTGACAGGGAGCTGACAGGAGGCTGAAAGGAGGCTGACAGGGAGCTGACAGGAGGCTGACAGGAGGCTGACAGGGAGCTGACAGCAGGCTGACAGGGAGCTGACAGGGTGCTGACAGGAGGCTGACATGAGGCTGACAGGGTGCTGACAGGAGGCTGACAGGGAGCTGAGAGGCAGCTGTCAGGAGGCTGACAGGGAGCTGAGAGGCAGCTGTCAGGAGGCTGACAGGGAGCTGACAGGAGGCTGACAGGGAGCTGACAGGAAGCTGAAGGTACTTACCAGCCTGCAGGGTCTGCGCTCTGGATTCTTTACCAACACTCGTATGAAAACCAGAACCAAGCAGCGGCGCCTTCACTGGACCTACACACACACACACACACACACACACACACACACACACACACACACACACACACACACACACACACACACACACACACACACACACACACACACACACACACACACACACACACACACACACACACAATCACACTCAGTGTCTCTGTGCAGTATGAGGACATGAGGTTTCAGTGTCTCTGTACAGAATGAAAACATGAGGATGTGTTTGTCTCACCGTCAGCGGAGACAAACTGTCCCACTGCAGAGGACACGCCCCCCGACCCCTCTACGAACTGGACCTCGGAGACGATGATGTTGTCCTCGAGGACAGACCCACAGCTGGTGCAGACAGCGCTGCCTCGGGCCTGGTCCACGTCGATGTCCCCCCCCCCACAGCTCCTGCAGACCCTCATGGTGAGGTCAGAGGTCAACCTGGGGGGGGGGGGGTTCAATAATACAATTAAAACTAACACTAACATACCATTACTACTGTATTCACTGTTAATGCTACTGATGCTACTGATACCATTACTACTGTATTCAGTGTTAATGCTACTAATGCTACTGATACCATTACTACTGTATTCACTGTTAATGCTAATGATGCTACTGATACTATTACTACTGTGTTCACTGTTAATGTTACTAATGCTACTGATACCATTACTACTGTATTCACTGTTAATGCTACTGATGCTACTGATACCATTACTACTGTATTCAGTGTTAATGTTACTAATGCTACTGATACCATTACTACTGTATTCACTGTTAATGCTACTGATGCTACTGATACCATTACTACTGTATTCAGTGTTAATGCTACTAATGCTACTGATACCATTACTACTGTATTCACTGTTAATGCTAATGATGCTACTGATACTATTACTACTGTATTCACTGTTAATGCTAATGATGCTACTGATACTATTACTACTGTGTTCACTGTTAATGTTACTAATGCTACTGATACCATTACTACTGTATTCACTGTTAATGCTACTGATACCATTACTACTGTATTCACTGTTAATGCTACTGATACCATTACTACTGTATTCACTGTTAATGTTAATGATGCTACTGATACCATTACTACTGTATTCACTGTTAATGCTAATGATACCATTACTACTGTATTCACTGTTAATGCTAATGATGCTACTGATACCATTACTACTGTATTCACTGTTAATGCTAATGATGCTACTGATACCATTACTACTGTATTCACTGTTAATGCTAATGATGCTACTGATACCATTACTACTGTATTCACTGTTAATGCTACTGATGCTACTGATGCCATTACTACTGTATTCACTGTTAATGCTACTAATGCTACTGATACCATTACTACTGTATTCACTGTTAATGCTAATGATGCTACTGATACCATTACTACTGTATTCACTGTTAATGCTAATGATGCTACTGATACCATTACTACTGTATTCACTGTTAATGCTACTGATGCTATTACTACTGTATTCACTGTTAATGCTACTAATGCTACTGATACCATTACTACTGTATTCACTGTTAATGCTAATGATGCTACTGATACCATTACTACTGTATTCACTGTTAATGCTACTGATGCTACTGATGCCATTACTACTGTATTCACTGTTAATGCTACTGATACCATTACTACTGTATTCACTGTTAATGCTAATGATGCTACTGATACCATTACTACTGTGTTCACTGTTAATGCTACTGATACCATTACTACTGTATTCAGTGTTAATGCTACTGATGCTACTGATGCCATTACTACTGTATTCACTGTTAATGCTACTGATGCTACTGATACCATTACTACTGTATTCACTGTTAATGCTACTAATGCTACTAATGCCATTACTACTGTATTCACTGTTAATGCTACTGATACCATTACTACTGTATTCACTGTTAATGCTACTGATGCTACTGATGCCATTACTACTGTATTCACTGTTAATGCTACTAATGCTACTGATACCATTACTACTGTATTCACTGTTAATGCTACTGATGCTACTGATACCATTACTACTGTATTCACTGTTAATGCTACTGATATCATTACTACTGTATTCACTGTTAATGCTACTGATACCATTACTACTGTGTTCACTGTTAATGCTACTGATGCTACTGATACCATTACTACTGTATTCACTGTTAATGCTACTAATGCTACTGATACCATTACTACTGTATTC